AAAAAAAAAAAAAGAATGTCCAGAAGAATTAGATGGTGCTTGGCTACCACAGTCAACCACTTGGAGAGGGATCTATGATGGAGATCCTGGATAGAATGGGAGAACAATGTGGAACAAAACTCAAAATTATTATTTTTAAAAAAAGATCAGGCTTGCTGGTCTGATAGAACCTGGTGAAACCCCTGGGACTACGGCCCCTAGCTGCCCTTCAGGTCTGGAATAGAACTCACTCCTGTGGATTCCACCCAAATAAAAGACTAGCACATGGGGTGAACATTTACATCAGGTAGATACACTCCTTGGAGAGATCAATCAAGGGAGAACAGAAGGGCAGTGTATGCACAAAGAGACAGCACAGGGGGCAGGAGTGCATGGGAGGGAAGGAAAACAGGGAAGAGATAATTACCGGGAGGAAGTGGTAAGAGAGCTGTTACACTGTGAGAAATTGCAGTCAATGTCATGAGACAAAACGTGTATGAACTGCTGTATGGAAAATGAATTTGCTTTGTAAACTTTCACCCAAATCACAACAAAAATAATTTTTTTTTAAAAAAAGGAGGGTGGGATACTCCAGTAAAAAAAGAGAGTAGTGGGGAGTGGCACTTACGTTAATAAGGCAAGCTACACTCTACAGTATTAGGTATCTTGAAGCAATCGCTTTTAAGATATAAAAATCAAACAAGCAAGCACAGATCAGAGGAACCAAGGAAGAAGAACTGGAAGTGGAGTGCATCCTTTGAACCCAGGGTCTCTGCACTAGGAACTTTCTGAACTCAAGGGGAGATTGATGCCAAGACACATGGAGAAGTTTAAGGAATGCCGGGTTCACGGATGCTGTAAGAAGAATCTTTCCCCTAAACTGTGAGCCAGTTGGGAGCTCTGGTAGCATAGTGCCTAAGGCACTTGACTGCTAACCAGAAGGCTGGCGGTTCAAACCCACCAGCTACTCCTCAGAAGGAAGATGGGGCAATCTACTTCCATAATGATACTGTCTCAGAAACCCAAGGAGGGGTCGCTATGGGTCGGGTCCGACTCGACAGCACATAACAACAACAACAACAACAGCAACAACAACAACAACAAACTGTGAGCCAAAAGAAAGAGAAAGCCGGAACGCGCCTTACCCTAGAGCTAGTGCCTGAAGTGGAACTTCTACCTTCCTAACTGTAAGAGAATCAATTTCTATCTGTTACAGCCATCCACTTGTAGTGTTTCTGATACAGCAGCACTAGAGAACTAAGAAAAGGGGGGAAAACAAGAATGGCAAATGTTGATCTTTATTGAAACTGGGTAATGGGTATGTGAAAAACTCATTTTACTATTATCTCTTCTCTGTGTATGTTTATTTATAAAAACACTATCATTTACACATAGATTTTTGTAATAGTGTTACAATCACCTTCCTGAACAATGAAATTACTACATCACCTCTTTCTTTTACTTTTATTAGACCTTTTCCACAGCATTTTCATCAGATTTCTCCTTCTACTTTTACAAAAGTCTACTTCTGAACATTATAGAGATATAACTGGGTGGAAGAAGCTTTTAAAATATTCAGTTAATTAAGAATACTTACCCTGAGCTTGTAGAAGTTTAAGGGTAGCTTCAGCTCTGGCTCTGGCTTCTCTCTGGGATTTAGTTAAAAGTTTCCCTTCTTTTTTCAAACGTTCTTTTCTTTCTTTTTCTTTCTGCTTTTTCCTTTCTCTTTTTTCTTGTTCTAATCGTTCCTATTAAAGAGGCCAAGTCAGATAAAAATTTTATTAGCTTAGTGAATTATAAAAGGTAAACAATTCAAACTTCAAACAAAGCTCTTATAATACACACAAAGTATTATGCCGGAAATTCCAAATTAACATATTACAAATGTTGTATGTAACAGCTGTTGATATGAATATCAGACTATGATACGTAAGCAACGTTGTATTTGAGGAAGTAAAAGGATTTTCTGTACCTCATCATTTTATCATTTATATCAAAACAATAATTGCTACATAACTATAAAAATTTGTAATGAGAAATTTAGAGATAATTTATAGAGAAGTGATTTTAAGTTGCACACAATTATCACCATGAGCAACGTCACGCGACATACCTCTTCTTTGCGTCTGGCTTCTAGTTCCTCAAGTCTTTTTATCCGTTCTTCCTCTTCTCTCTTCTGTCTTTCCTCTTCTTCTTTTAGCTTAGCCAGAGCTTCCTGCATAGCTTTAACTGTGGCTTTACTAGGTCCTTTTTTCTTCTCTTTCTCTTTTTCTTCCTTTTCTCCTTTCTTTTTCTTCTTTTCTTTTTTCTTTTTGTCTCCTTCATTGTCATCTATCAAAAAAGAAGAATAAAAGCAAACTGTGGAAAAAAGGTCATTTCTTAAGGCAATGATGAACCAAACCCAGAATTCAGAGACCATAACGGACCATGGCCAATATTAGTAACAAGCAAAAGCCTCTAAGCATCATAAACACTGAGTACCCAGATTAGCTGAGAACAGCACAGTGCACTCACAGTGGCCTTCTGTGAAGCCCATAATGCTAGTGCTGTTCTTAGTTGTTCCAACTGACAGAAGGAGACAAGAAGATCCTGTCAGCAGATGGAGGGACTCCCCATTTGAAGAAGGGCAATACTGTGTCTAAGGTATTCCTTAGTGTCTGGTAGAGTAGCTGACACATGATACTCAACATCAGTTGTTAACAAATAGAGTGAACCTAAATTTAGTCACTAGCTTCACATATATGTGTTGTTGTTATGTGCCATCGAGTTGGACCTGACTCATAGCGACCTCTCCTTGGGTTTCCAAGGAAGTATCACTATGGAAGTAGATTGCCCAACCTTCCTTCTAAGGAGTGGCTGGTGGATTTGAGCTGCCAGCCTTCTGGTTAGCAGTCAAGTGCCCTATGCACTATGCTACCACATATATAGGACCAGAATAATGAGAATGTTGTCTACCTTAAGGAGAATAAAATCTAAAAATTTAGGTTATTATACTCCAAGAACTTTGAAGTATTGTCCAAAAGAATTAAACATTATATCCAATTTAAAAATGGGCAGAAGACAGGAAAAGACACTTCACCAAAGAGGACATTCAGGCGGCCAATAAACATATGAAGAAATGCTCATGATCATTAGCCATTAGAGACAGACACAAATCAAAACAAAAATGAGATACCATCTTGCCCCAGCACTAACAGGAAAGTTCAACAAGACAGAAAATAACAAATCCTGACAAGGATGTGGGGGAGTTTGGGACTCTCCTACACTGCTGATGGGACTGTAAAATGATACTGTGGAAAGCAGTATAGCGATTCCTTAAAAAGTTGGGATTAGAATTACCATTTGACCCAGCCATTATATATCCCAAAGAAGTGAGAGCCAGGACAAGAACAGATATATGCACAACTATGTTCATTGCAGCACTACTTATAATAGCAAAAAGATGGAAACAATCTATGTGCCCATCAACAGAAGAACGGATAATCAAACTATGGTACATACACACAATCAAATACTATACAACCCTAAAGAATAATGTGGAATCTGCAAAACACCACATACCATGGATGAACTTAGAGGACATGATGCTGAGTGAAATGAGTCAGTCACAGAAGGACAAATATTGTATTAGCCCATTATTGTAAAAAGTCAAGAAAAGGTTTATTTGTGGAAGGAAACTTTCTCTGTTGTTTACTAGGGGTGGAAGGGGAGGGGAGGGAACACTGTTAGATAGGTAGAGACAAGTATTGATTTGGGTGAAGAGAAGGGCAATGTATCAAATATGAGTGATCAATATGGTGGCAATGAGAAAGAGGAAGACCTAGTGAGGTGCATGGGAGGTACAGACAACAAAGATGAACCCTTTTGCACATACAGTACTGCACTATCAGTGAAGGCAAACATTGATACATAGGTGGATAGATGGACAAGCTGAATGATTAGGTATGTCTAAGCAGGGGAAGTGTGCCCAAGACCATGAATAGCGTTGTAGACAATGTTTCCATAAGTATACTGGTATGCTCTGTAAGAATTCCCAGGTATATAGTAGAGGTGACAAGGGACAAGTTTGTAGTCACTTCTTCACCACAGCCAGCTATCCAGTGGGATCAAGTAGTTGAACCTGTGGGCTCAGGACCATGGTCACAGGGGACATCAAGCTCAATTGGCATAACATACTACACAAAAACAGTGTTCTACATCCTACTTTGGTGAGTAGTGACTGGTATCTTAAAAGTTTGCAAGTGACCATCTAGGTGCAACGATGGGTCTCTACTCATGCAGAGCAAAGAAGGATGAAGAAAACCAAAGACACATGGAAACAATTATTGTAAGTGTCTGGTACACCATGCCACCCTTAGGCTATACAACTATAATATCTAAAGAACTAAATGGTGCCCTGCTACCACTGGCAACCACTCGGAGGAGGATCTATGTAGGAGATCCTGGATATAATGGGAGAACAATGTAGAATAAAACTCAAAATCATTAAAAAAAAAAGAAAAAGGGGGTAGGGGTAGGGACCAGGTTTGCTGGTCTAATAGAGCCTGATGGAACCACTCAGACTATAGCCTCTAGATGTCCTTCAGGTCTGGAAGTGAACCCACTCCTGTGGCTTCCAGCCAAACAAAAGACAGGCATATGAAGTGAACATTTACACTAGGTAAATACACTCCTTGGAGAGATCAATAGTGGGAGAACAGAAGGGCAGTGTATGTACAGGGAGATAGCTCAGGGGGCAGGAATGCATGGGGGAAGGACACAGGGAAGAGGTAATTATGGGGAGGAAATGAGAGGGGAGCTGTTGCATTTTGGGAAATTTCAGTCAATGTCATGAGATAGAGTGCATGTGAGCTGGTGTATGGAAAGAGAATTTGCTCTGTAAACTTTCACCCAAATCAAAATAAAAATTTTTTAAAAAAGAAAGAATTAGATTATAAAGCTACTTTTATGATGTTTCTCCTCAGCATGTCCAGATAATAAAAACTGTAGTTAAAAAAGTTACACTAGTTTCTTCATTAAAAGTCTTCTAAAGAAAAATTAGTCTGTTTTAAGACTCTACAGTCTATGCTGTTGTTAACTGCTGTCAAGCCAACCCTGACTCACGGGGACCTCCTGTGTTACAGAGTAGAAGTAAAACTGCTCCATAGGGTTTTCTTGGGTGTAAACTTTACAGAAGCAGTTCACCAGGCCTTTCTTCCATGAAGCTACTGGGTAAGTTTGATCCACCAACCCTTATGTTAGCAGCCTATCACAAACCATTTGCACAGTCCAGGTTCATTATATAGTCTATAAATGATGTGAATCATTTTAATGTCTTTAGCTATTTTCATTCTGAATAGGGAGAAATATAGCTAGAAAGCTTTTTCTTCCTTAATTGGTTCTGGTACAAAAACGTGACTCACTCTTGCTTAAAAGATGTTAACTAATTTTGCACATTATTTATAGCATTTATGTATTTCATAAATAGAATTGGATCTTTAAAGACAAAAGAATTCAAAAATATTATGTCATTCAATTATTCAAAAAGAATAATACAATTTTTACTAAACACCTTCTACGGTTTTTATCAATAACAAAAGATATTTTTCACAGTAATTCTGTAAAAATTCCAATCTGTGCAAGACTATTTGAAAGATATTTTAATACAGTTGTCCCTTAGTATTGGTGGGGGATTGGTTCTAAGACTCCTGCAGATATAAAAATCCACATCATGATGCTCAAGTCCCTTATATAAAAGGTAGTAGTATATATGTATAACCTACACACATTCTTGCAATCCCCCTGTATACTTTAAAATCATCTCTAAATCAGTTATAATAGCTAATACAATGTAAACGCTATGTAATTGGCACTTTACCCTCCCTCTTAGCCTTTGAAAAATTGCTTAGACCAGTGAATGGTCTATGTCCCCACCACCACCACCCCTGTGAGTATTTTCAATCCATGACTGTTTAAATAGAGGGGTGTGGAATCAAGGATAAGAGGGCCGACTATATAAACATAAATGTTTAACAATGAAAATCAAGTCAAAGAGTACTCAAGTGGAATTTTTTAAAAGGCTTCTTACAAATAAGCACTTTTAAAACTAACTACAAATAACAAAATGACTTTGAGGTATAATTATCAAACTATAGACAGTGTGAATCAAATGCCTTTTGCTTTTACTCTATGTTACCAACCTTCTGCTGCTGCGGTAGTCTCTCCTTTCTCTTCAGAGGCAAGGGTTGCTCCAGCATCAAGAGTCCCTTTGGATTTTAGAGGTTCCTCTTCAGATTTCTTCTGAGATTCTTTTTGTTTACTCTGATCCTTTTTACCTGTTTCTAACTCCTCTTTTTCTTTCAGCTTCCGTAATTTTGCCTTTTCTTCATCTCTCTTTTTTCTCTCACGCTCTTTCTTTTCTGCCTTCTTTTGGGCCACTGTCTTAATTTTAAAGGAGGAATCATCATCTTCATTCCCACTCTCTATATTAGGGCCTGGTTTATTCTTTTGATTTTTTTTCTGTCCTTTTCTAGACTGCAAAAATTCATCTGATTCATCACCACTTTCACCTGAAGAATTTACTCTGGAATGCTCTTTAGTTCTTTTACTGTTATCCTCATCCTCCTCCGACCCATCCCACTTTTTACTTGATTTCTGACCTTTCCCTTTTGCTTTTTTAGAAATTTTATTAAAATCATCATCATCATCACTCCCAGAGTACATTTCGCCTTTCGGTTTTGCAGTCTTTTTCGATTTTGAATCTTTATCTTCCAATTCTTCATTGTCATTATCATCAAAACTTTGTTTTTTGCCTTTTTGTCCTTTCTTTTTTTTCTCTTGTTTTAAGGTGGATTCTTCTTCATTATTTTCTGTTGGCTAAAAAATTTTCATTGTTAGCATTACAGTTTATTTTTAAAAAATAATTTAAATGCTTCAGAATCATGTGCTTCATTAAGCATATGAAAAAATATTTATCAAAATAAGCTTCTTTTTACAAGAATATAAAACCCAACCAATCAGGCATATCTCACATTCACCACAAATCTCAGAATCCAGGTAGCTCTGAAATAAGCACTGATCACCAGTACATTTATTATCTACTTCAAAGGGCATGGAAAGCCAAAAGGGAAAAATGGAAGAAGAAAAAATCTTCCTATCATATTCTCACTACTCTGAGGCTTATCTAAATTCAAAGAATGAAAAAGAAATAATATAGAAAATTGAAAGTGGAGATAAAAGGAAAAAAACCTCCCTCCAAAATGTTTTCATATCTTCAAAAGTATCAATTTTATAAACAAGCAACATACCATCAAATACTTTTAGATTCCTAAATAAAGCATCTTAATATCTGTGAAAAGTTTTTAAAGTACATTATTTCTTTCCTAAAAAATTGATTACCCCTTTTGGCATCAAAATTTACAGAAACTTTTAAGTTACATAAGCTTCCAAATGCAGCTCCCTAAACCAGCAATGGGAAACATGAATGGCATGAATGAGAATAATGATCTGTCTTTCACCTTTACTGGAGCACTTTCTCTGTCAGGTTTGATGCCTTGAGTCTCTAAAGACAATTCTTCCAGTTCTTTCAGGATATCATCTTCACTAGAAAAGGATTAAAATATATTTTGAGGCATTGGATTAGTTTAACAAGTGAATCCAATACCAAAGCTAATAAAAATCAAACATATTTAAAACATACTTACTCAAAATCTTGCTTTTTTTTCTCCTTTTTCTTTTTCCCCTTTGACTTTTGAGGTTCCTGTTCCTTGGCAGCACCAGCTCCTTCTATTTCTGCAGCCAAAGCATCGAGATCAATATCATCCTTGGCACTTGAATAAAACAAAGAAGACCTAATCATTACTCAAGAGCAAAATAATCTATCATATTCACTTTCAGAAAACTTTTCATTAATTTCACCTTTTTCATACATTAGCATCCATGAAGAAATATCCCTTGGCAAGTTTTCATAGAAACACAAGTTATATTTACTTAGCCTCCCAAAACCAGATTCAGTAACATTTCTGGGTTATATGCAGAAGACCTATAATGAAGAGCTCTGGAAAAAAATCTAAGTAATCAAGACAAGCAAATAAACTTCTATAGATACCAAAGTATTCTTGGTATATCTAAAAGAAGTTATTTATAAAATTGAGGCATCATAACAGATAAAACTGTTCTTGTTAAATAGTGAATCCAGATACAACAACTGATTTCTATTAGCCTGGAGCAACAAAGGAAGGAGACTCAGGAATAGGAGGAGAAAATGGAGTATGTTGCTGGTTGCCTTCAGAAACAACTTCCCCCCTTGCCCTGAGACCAGAGGCATACAGTGCCTAGGTACTACTACTGAACATTTTGATCAAAGGTTCTACAGAAGAATCGTCCTCAAAAGGAGGAAAAAGCAGACTAGAATGTCAAATTCTCATGGAATCTAGACTTTCTGAAGCCATGGAGGCTAAATGGACAGGGGGGCTGGGGAAACTACTGCCCTGACATAATCTTTAAAACTTAATCCAAAAATATCCCATCAAGTCTTCTTAAAACCCAATGATAGTGTTGCACAACGAGATACCATCTTGCCCCAGCACTAGTAGCAAAGTTCAACATGACAGAAAATAACAAATGCTGGAGAGGATGTGGAGAGACTGGGACTCTCATACACTGCTGGTGGGGCTGTAAAATGATACAATTGCTGTGGAAAGCATTATGGTGATTCCTTAAAATTTTGGAATTAGAAATACCATTTGACCCAGTCATTCCATTACTAGGTATATATCCTAAAGAAGTGAAAGCCATGACAAGAACAGATATACGCACACCCATGTTCATTGTAGCACTATTTACAATAGCCAAAAGATGGAAAAAACCTAGGTGTCAATCAACTGAAGAATGGATAACCAAACTATGGTACATACACACAATGGAATACTATGCAACCCTAGAGAATAACCTAGAATGTGCAAAACACCACATACCGTGGATGAATTTGGAGGACATTATGCTAAGTGAAATGAGTCAGTCACAGAAAGACAAAAATTGTATTAGTCCATTAGTGTAAAAAGTCAAGGAAAGGTTTATACATGGAGGGAAATTTTCTTTGTTGGTTACCAGGAGTGGAAGGGCAGGGGAGGGAACACAGATAGGTAGAGACAAGTATTGATTTGGGTGAAGAGAAGTGAGTGATCAACATGGTGGCAATGAGGGAGAGGAAGACAAAGAGAAGTTCAGGGGAGGTACAGACAACAAAGATGAACCCTTTTGCACATACAGTACTGTGCTGTCACAACTTGGTAGGAAGTTTGGGCAATCTACTTCTGTACTGATACTGCCTCAGAAACCCAAGGGGGGGGGGGTCACTATGAGTCAGGCACGACTCAGTGGCACATAACAACAACAACATGCAGAGGGTAGTGTGTTCAAGACAATGTATATAGTTGGTGGACAATGTTTCTAGAAGCGGATCAGTAGGTTCTGTAAGATTTCCCAAGTATACAGTAGAACTAACAGGGGACAAAGTTGTAGTCGCTTCTTGCCCACAGCCAGCTACTCAGAGGGGGTGACTAGTTGGACCTGTGGGCTTGGGACCATAGTCGCAGGGGACATCAAGCTCAATTGGCATAACATACTACACAAAAACATTGTTCCACATCCTACTTTGGCGAGTAGTGACTGGGATCTTGAAAGCTTGAAAGCAGCCATCTAGATGCAACAATAGGTCTCTCCATGTCCAGAGCAAAGAAGAATGAAGAAAACCAAAGATTCATGGAAACAATTAGTCCTCGTGACTGGTACACCATGGGATCCTCAGCCTGTATGTCTATGAGACCAGAAGAACTAGATGGTGCCCAGCTACCACTGTCAACCACTTGGAGGCAGATCTATGTAGGAGATCCTGGATAGAGTGGAAGAAAAAAAAAAGGGACCAGGTTTGCTGGTCTCATAGAGGCTGTTGGAATCACTGAGACTATGGCCCCTCGCTGTCCTTCAGGTCTGGAATTGAATCCACTCCTGTGGCTTCCAGCCAAACAAAAGACAAGCATATGAAGTAAACATTTACACTAGGTAGATACACTGCCAGGAGAGAAAAATCAAGGGAGAAAGAAGGACTGTGTACGCACAAGGAGACAGCTCAGGGGGCAGGAGTGCATGGAGGGACGAACACAGGAAAAGATAACTATGGGGAGGAAATGGGAGGAGAGCTGTTGCACTGTGGTAAATTGTAGTCAATGTCATGAGACAAAGTGTATGTGAACTGCTGTATGGAAAGTGAATTTGCTCTGTAAACTTTCACCCAAATCACAATTGAAAAAAAAAAAAAAATCATAGTTTTGCTTAAGTAGGCAAGACTATGGGCCTTGAGCATTATGCTCTTTTAAGACTTATCTATATGGGATCAAACTGATAACAGCATCTCAAAAGATTAGATAGGAAACTTAGGGGACAGTGACTTTACATCAACAGGGGAGAAAAAATTCAGACAAGCAAGTTGCTTAACTCAAAAAATGTAATCAATGTTACTAAATTGTACATATACAAGTTGTTAAATTGGTGTATGTTTTGCTGTTTATATTCTCAATGACAACAAAAATAAATTATTTAAAAAAATTAGTCTTATTACTTGATTATCAATGTTGCTGTGTCCCATCAAGCTGATTCCATCTCAGAGCAATCCTATAAGCCAATGGAACTGCACCATAGCGTTGCCTAGGTTGGCAACTATGGATGTATGGAACTATGGAAGCAGATCACCAGGTCCTTTTTCCCATGGAGCTATTGGTGGGTTTGAACTGCCAACCTTTCAGTTAACAGCCAACTGCTTAACCACTGTGCCATCAAGGCTCCACTGATTATTAATAATGACACCTAAACATGTGGACCCCTGGGTGTTTTAATTAGATTGCCAGAATTTTTTACAGCTGGAAGAAACTTTAGAGATCACCTACATCTAGTCTAGTCTCTTATCTCACAGAAAAACTAAGATGTCCAAAGACTGTCTGTCTTGAGCAAAACATGACCACACATGCAAGTTTAAACAAATTAAGAATGTTTCACTGAGGCTGGAGAGAGGTTCCGGCAAGATGGTGGACTAGGCAGAAAGACTGCATGGATCCTCTTTAACAAAGAAAAGGAAAACCAATTAACACAGACACAGAAGATAATCCTGGACCCCTGAGCCTTGAAGGGACATATATAGAAGTGGACTAAACCCCAACCAACAGAAGAATTTGCGTGAAAATACCAAAAAAGGAAACACACAGAGCTGCAGTCTGGCAGCCATCCTGAGTGATCCTGACAGCACAGACAGCTTGGAGATTACCGAGTGGTGGTAGGACTTACGAATTAACCTAAAAATCACCCTGTTAGCCAGGAACTGCACGGAGGACTGTGCACGGTGGCTGGGGAACAAACAGAGAAGATGAAGAGAAAGGTGGGCTGAGCTGTGGTCTTTTGCCAGTCCAGAGGGTGCCACCATCTTGAAGGTTAAAAAAGCGGCTTGACTATTTTGGATATTTAAAGAGACAGCACTCTCGCAGATTCCTGTGGTGGTAGAACTTACGAATTAACATAAAAATCACCCTGCTAGCCAGGGACTGCATGGAGGACTGTGAATGGTGGCTGGGGAACAAACAGAGAAGGAGAAGAGAAAGGTGGGCTGAGCTGTGGACTTTTGGTCTGGAGGGTGCTGCCATTTTGTAGGTTTAAAAAGCAGCTTGACTATTTTGGATATTTAAAGAGACGGTGCTCTCGCAGATTCCTGGGGCTTAAGAAAACGTTCTGCTTTCCAGCAACCCCAAGGACACTCGGGACCTGTAAGACTGACAAGTTTTTTGAAGGTTATTCTATTGTAATTTGTGTCTAATTGAGTGAGAGACAACAACAGTCCCCATAAGACACAACTACACCCACACCTCCTGCAAGTTCACTTACTGAGCAACAGCCACTACTTCCTTCTCCACCAATGGGCCAATGATAAAAAACCACCAAGAAGAGCCTGAACCACCCTTGGCTGCTCTTCACAAACAGTTAACAGAGATCTAAATACAACAATGCCA